GCCAGGGCCACATCTGGCTATTTTTGGCTTGAGGAAGACACTCGTCCCACAGAGGAATGGTGATTCCTCACTAGAGCTTGGAGGAGCACAGAGCCCGTGTGTGTGAACACACGTCTCTCACCTTGGCTACTGGAAGCCCAAACCAGTAGCCATCCCACCCAGCAGATACAAGGAGATATCCCAGCCCCAGGATCGGGAGCTGGCAGCGTGATCTGTGGTAGGGGCCGCTGGCCCAGAGATGCTGCAGGAGGGAAAGCCCTGGTGCACCACGTCCCTCTGCCCAGCTGGGTCCTACCTCTCTGGAAAAAAGGCACCCTAAGAGTGGGCACGGCTCCGCCTTCCCCTGGCACAGAGCTCAGGAGCAAACAGCTGGTTGGGGCTCTTGGGCAGCCTCAGCCCTGGCACTCAGAGTCGTCCTACAGCCCGACCCTGCGGGCGGCTGTCTCCGCTAACTGCCCTCCCTGGCACAGCCCACTGGGACGGGCTGGGAAACACTCAGCAGAACCACCACGGAGAGAACCTACGGAACGCTCAGGGTCTCCTGGAGCCACAGGAGCTGGAGAAGCTGATGACACGTAGCACCCAGCAACACCCAGCCTCAGGGTACGAGGGATAAGCGTACAAAACCGCAACGTCCCAGCTGCCAAGAGTGCTGGGATGCACGATCCTCCGGATCGGGGACCTGCCTACGTCCCGCCGTCCCTCCCGCCCCGCCGCAGCGCGGGGCGCAGCTCACCTCCGCTGTTGGTGATGGTGACGGGCACGCCCTGGACTTGCACGCCGTTGATGTTGACGCCGCAGCCGGCAGCTGAGCCGCGTTCAAGCTGATGACGCCTCCGGCGGGGGCGATCTTGGGCAGGGTGCGTTCCTTGTGCGTGCCCGCTTTCTTGCTGCCGACCCCCGGGCCGGAGCTGCGGGACACCAGGCTGCTGCAAGAGGTCCCAGACGGAGCCACCGTCATGGCCGAGCCTTCCTGGAGCAGCACAGTCTGCAGCTCACCCGACGGCGTTTTGAAGAAGAACTGATGGGAGGAGAAAAGCGGGATGAGAGCAGCTGCCATCACCAGCCTGACCCCCTGCCCCACCACGATGGTCGCCCTCCCCCATACAACCCAGGAATTTGGGCCTGTGATGAGCCAAAGAGGGGGAGAAATCGCCCAGGCACCTGAAGACCCTTTGTGGGCCTCCTGAAGAAGGTCCTGGCCTTGCACGGCAGCACAGGGTTGCATTTCCAAAGGCAACACTGAAGTCACAGTCCTACAGCCCCACTCCCTCGCCTCCCTCTGTCTCCAGTGAGCTTCTGAGCAGGCTGGCTCATGCCAACCCAAGCTGGTGGCACAGCAGAGGTTTCAAGGACACCGCAGTTCTGTAAAAGCACGCGGCCAGCAAGACAGACTTAATAATGAAGCCCTGCGGAGGGAATGGCTGAGCGCCCAACTCTCCTCAGACATTGGAGAATCCACACGAGCGATGCCCAAATTGGATGCCAAGTTGAGGATGTCTGGCAGCTCACAAAACCCTTCGGCTTTCTAAAGCCTGAGAACGAGCTCAGAGGAGAAACAGGGCAGAGGGACCTGGGAGGAGGCCACAGGAGGTGGTACCTGGGTAGGAGTGGGTTCTGTCGTCTGGATCTGGAAGTTCTGGGAGGATTTCTGGGGGACGGTGGGGAGCGTGGCAGAAGCGGCCTGGACCACGCGCAGGGCCTGCTGCGGGATCTGCACCACCTGCGACTCCGGCTTGGGCTGCACCACCTGCACCTGCTGCACCACGGCCGCCTGGCCGGAGCCCGGGCTCTGCACGATGAGCAGGTTGCTGCCCGCCTGGATGATGTTCTCAGCCGTCGTCTCGATCAACACCGTCTCCACCTGCTCGGCCACGGCCACCGCGGTGGGCTGGGTGGGTGACATGGTTTTCTTCCGAATCTTTTTGGTGGGCTTCGAGGGGCTCTCGGTGAGGATCTGAGCCTGCGTGCCCGGCTCGGCGGCGCTCATCAGGTTGTTCACGGGCAGGGTGAGAGTCACGTTGCTGCCACGGGCTAACTTGACCACGTTCCTCGTGCCCTGCGCTGGCGAAGCTCCACCCTTCTGCGCCGGAGCCGGTTTGATGGGCACGGGCTTGTGAGAGGAAGAGGAAGGGGTGAGGATGGCTTGATTCGTGCCTGGAATAATCTGGATCTGGTTGGTGAGGTTGGGCTGGACCTGGATGGTCTGTCCCCCCGTGGCCTGGATCTGGGGCACCGCCTGGTACTGGATGTTGGCGGACGAGCGGGAGCCCTTGTTGATGACAGTTGGGTTCTGAATGGCAAAAACCAGCTGCCCCCCGGGGTAGGAGGTGCCGACCTGAGAGCCCTGGATCTGGAAGAGGTTCCCTTTCGCCGAGAGGATCCCAAAGCTGTTCTTACCGGAGCCCAGAGGGAGTGGAGCAGGTTTGATGGGGACCAGTTTGCGAGGCGTTGGCTGAGGAGGGGCGGGAGGCGTCACGGCGGCTTCCACGGCAGGGGGCCCGATTTTGCTGCATGTCGCTGCCAGGAGGGCAAGAGGAGACGGCTGGGAGTCCTGGGGACACAGGAAGGAGGTGGGTAAGCTGGAGACAGGGGCTTGTGCCAAACATCTGGAGATCAGGCATCAAAGGAAAGGGTACATGCTATCGAAAGCAACCCAGTCCATGCCAGTAAGACAGCCCTTATTAAGGGAGCTGCTTAATTACCCACCCCACGTGTGCCTCCAGCTCACCCCAGTGACACCACTTTTAGCCACCAGGATGGCGACTGCTTTTTAATTGTGTGCCCAGGTTCTTACAACCTTCACAAAACTGCAAACGCCTTCCAGCCTGCTGGGACTTACACCCTTCACACCCCCCCCAGGGCGTTTCACCGCAGTTCTAATTCCAAGACCACCTTGTGATCCCACCTGCTAGCACAACCCAAGGGATCCTTAAGGAAAACACGGCGCAGGGAGGAGAAACAACATGGCAGAGTTGGCGTCAGGGCTGGGAAGGAGTCCAGAGCTCAGCTCCCCAGCCTGTCCTGCAACCAGTCCTGCTCCTGCCGCGGCGACGCTGGCAACGGCAGAGGCAGGAGGGGCTGAGCGACGCAGCGTTTGCTGTCCTGCACCCCAGGCCAGGTCCCTCCGCCCAAGGAAGGAGACCTTCCTGCCCTGGGAAGCAGGGAGCCTGTGGATGCCCCTCT